GAGGAGGAGGAGATGTCTGTCTGAAAGAAGTCGGCCTGACACTCTGTCCGACACCTCGGACTGCAGCAGGAAGAAAAAGACGCTCTTATTGTGAAACGTCTGATTTTTGAGGTTCATTAATCAGACGAAACAATCGTCGCTGCCGTTGCTGTTATTGATCCTTCCCCTCTCGGTGCACATGCTGATGATCAGTCATCTCACCTGTTTGGTCATGGAGTCGATGAGGCGGACGTACAGGTCCTGCTCCGTCCTCACCCCTGCACACAAACCAACAGTCGGGGTTAGCGTGAGCGAGCAGAGACGGGGCTGTGCTGCTCATTAAAACAAGCGCACCCACCGTTACTGTAGAGCAGCTGCAGCTTGTAGTGGATCCCGTTGTTGGTCTTCTCGCCCGTCGGCTCCTGAAACAAAGTCAGGAAACAAACTGAGGCGTGGGTGCGTTTGGTTTCACCACCTGATGTGACCAAGCAGAAGTTCTGCATGTTTTAGTGCATTAGAGCGCGCTGGTGTGTAACTTTGGTGAGTCCGTATATGTCAACCTTTACACAAGCGCACACGTGTGAGGTGGCTGAGCCTGCTGCATAATCAGAGGGGAATATTTCAACTGATTATTCTAACCACACGTTGTTTGCTTGATGCTGAAATGAAGCGTCAGCTCCTGTGTTTAGAAAACATGCAAACTTTTGGAAATCGGCCGTGAAACTAAACACACCTCTCAGCTCTGTTTGGGGCTTCATTTTCCCTGCTTGGTGAATCACATTCACACTGGTCTGTCTGCACTGAGCCGAAGCTGTTGGGCTGATAAACATGAATCAACCTTCGGCACAGACGCGACTGTCAGAGGGAAAAACTGCTGCATTAAAATGACGCAAACTGCATTTTATTGTGTTTACTGTGCACACTACTGCCAAACACACCTGTCACAGGTGCTGTTGTCTATTATACCGCTGTGGACATGTTACGCTGCTGGAGCTGCGGTATCAGTTTGATGAACGAAGCCTGAGCTCGGGATGCGGAGCTGACGGTCTCAGCTGTCCAGATAAATCTGCATTTTTATTTAAATGTAAAAAATATGAAGTGAGGTTCAAATAAAAGCCACGTGTGCGAGGCTGATAAAATCAGCACTACTGTGTCACTGTGCTTGAGTTCAGCCTGAATGGCAGTCGCAGCGTTACGGCGCCTGGCAGAGGGTCTCCTTCCTGTCGGGATGCGACTGAGTCTCTAAAGTTCAGATTCCGTTCTGTTCTCCGTCATAAGCATGAGAGCGTCTTTGATTTCTGTCTTTGCACACTGTGCAGTGTGTTTGTTTTATGTCCCAGCTCCTCCCCGCATCCCTCTGAGTCTCACCTTCTCCTTTTCCACAAAGTCGACGTAGGCGGTGCGTTCGATCTCGACGGGCTGACCCTGGCGGTCGTACAGAGCCAGCACGAAGTGGAAGAAATTGGACTTCCTCAGGTTGGACGGCGGCTGCTTCTCAAAGTGAGCGCGAGCTAACCCCACCCCGCTGAAAAGCAAAGAGATGGACAGAAATATAAAAGATGCAGGAGGACGAGGTTTATTGTTGCAGTCGTCACAGAGCTTCCTGCGCTGTTATTTCAGCAGGATGACAGTTTCTTCAGCGTTTCTCTGTCACAGTAAAATATTTCACGTCTGGCTCATGTGCTGAAAAACAGCGTATTACAGTAAAATGCACAAAGTGCTTTAAATCCAGGAAAACTTCCTGAAGATGAACAAGGTCAGAGCTCAGATTAGGACTCGCTGAAGAAAAACGCAGGTCGGACGTGATTAATCGCAGCTTCACGCGGTCGTCAGGCCGAGAAACACATCACACATTCACCGTATCAAAGTCTGGACGATGAACACGCACGCTCAGCCTCAGCACAGACACACTTCAGTCTGACCAATGACACATTATACTGCAGTAATAATACAGCAGCGCATTATTAGAGCTGTAGTACAATTTGTGTTTAATTTAAATAAACACGTTTGAGTCGACTTTAAAAAGCTTCTCACGGGTGAAAATATCCAGAAGCTTTTCCTTGTTTCACGGCGAGAAGGTGACTGTGGAAAAACAAGCTCTGCACTAAAAAAAGAAAAATTCACATTTCATGAGTTTAATCATAATAAATCAGCTGAAACGTTTCTGTTAAAATTAAACGGAGGATTTCGCTGCAGGAAAACCTGCACCATCCAATTTATAATAAACGTGTGAGGATAAAAATCTTCATCATTCACCAAACATGCTGCACAACTTTAAACGGTCACATGGACGCAGCTTCAACATGTTAAAGAGAGAAAATCAGGTTCACACAAACTGTGAATCACATGCTCGATTTATTAATATTTATGCGAAGAAGTCAAACTGCAGCTTTGACCTCGACCGCGAACATCATCGGAATATCTCGCAGCGTTAAACCCGGACGGCGGCGCAGAGACAAACATGCTTTCATAGAAACAAGTCGTGCTTTTAATCTGAAATCTTTAAGGTCACAAAATGTTAGAAATGTTTTTGATGAGAATAAACTTGAATTTGTAGTTCATGTCATCATGAACTAAAATCATCGTGTCAGGAAATCTAACGAGAGAAAAGAGTTTGTGCTGAGAATTTAAAAATATTTCTAATAGTTTTTGTTTCATTTTTAAAATTATTTAAATGAATTTCCTGCAGATGTTCAGATGGATTTAATTCTTTTTGTTCTATTTTGGAACATTAATGTTTCTTTTCTCAGAGTGAAATGATTTTTGTGGCTCATCCTGAAAAAACTTGGTATTTTTCATCGTTCTAATGCAGAAACAGATCCGACGGCTGAAGCTGCTAACGATGATAAACTGTGACGCTCAGCTGCAGGGCGAGCTCAGACCGCTGCCGCCGCCGACCCGTGCCTCGTTTATTACACGCAGCGCTTTAACCCCAAACCTTCGACGCCATCCAGAGAAACACGAAGTCAGTCTGAGGAAAAATAAAACGAGCGGCTCCTCGGCTCAGACAAACGTTTCACTTTGGGAAACAAACACAAAGAAAAGTCTTTGAGTCAAACTCTGAAAATTTAAAGATCAAATAGAATTATTTGGATGATTTTTGATAAGCGTTTCCTCGCTGTTTTTATTCACTTTAAATAACTCACATTTACAAAAACATTCTCCCTGTTTGTCTGTGAGCTGCAGGAATTTTCCTAAACTTCAGAAACATTTTAAAATCTTATTTTCAATCTGTCTGACCTTCAGAAACATCTAAATAATCTATTTTTTCCCCTCCAGCAAAATAATAATTAGTGTTTTTTCTGCTGAAGATTTAAAATTAAAATCTTTTCTCTGAGCTGCAAATTTTTTTTTCTTTCGAGTGAAATAAAACTGCTGTGGGTCCGTTGGGACTACAGCTCCCGGAGTCCCTGCGGGGTGGCGGGCAGTTTACCTCTGAGCAGCCGTGTTGGCGTCCACCACACCGGCCGAGTGCATCCAGGAGCGAACGGCCAGCGGCTCCTCCTTCATGTTGGCCGTGGCCCCGCGGGGCAGGTTGTCCTGGATCCCAAACATCTCAGGGGCCCGGATGCTGCGAGCGTCGCTGCTGCAGCTCAGCCGCAAAAACAAGAAGAAGAAGAAGAAGCAGAAAAAGTCCAGCAGAAAAAATGTGATCTACAGGACGGAGCGAGGCTTCTGGACGGGCGACATTTTCTTCACCCGCACGTCGAGGTCTAAAACGAGGCGGCGAGGAAGAAGAAAAACAAGGAGTTTAAAATTCTGCTGAACTTTTCGTCTGATTTGCAGATTTAATTCAACTTTTCAGGGCAGAAATTTTTTTAAGTTTTTAAGAAGGTTTTTTTTTTAATTCTTGATCATCAGTGACAGAAAAAAAGGCCGGAGGAGGAGGAGGAAACGGGAAAAGAGAAATAAAATCCTCAGAGGACGAGAAAACGAGGGGGAGAACAGCCGGGTCCGGACGGCGAATCAAGCAAAGTGTCTTTTTTCTTTTCCCCAAAGAGAGGAGGAGAGAGGAGGTGGGCTGGGATGGAGGGGTGAGGAGCGGAGGAGAAACTCTCAGCCCTGCGGCCCCACAGGACTGGACGGCAAAACCCAAAAACCCCACGGGTCTTCCTCCTTGCTGCTGACGACATCACGGCGGGGGTGGGGCCTGGCCTTATAAGGACAGGAGAGGTGAGAGACGATGTGTGTGCGCGGGTGTGCGAGAGCAAGATGAAGAGAGGGAGGAGGGGGAGGAGGGGGAGGAGGTGCCAACCAACCAGAGCCAGAGAGAGAGGTCTTGATCGCCCCATGCTCTCGCTCTCTCTCTCTCAGTCTGAACTGGTTCCTGTTTATCCCATCACTTCGTGTGGCTGTGGTGGAAATCCGCTCAGAGATCCAGTCCTTGTGGTCCTGGGTCTGTTATCAGACCCTGAGCCAGGTCAGCGGGTCCCTGATGGTCTCTGTGGTAGCAGCTCAGGCCAGACGGAGGCTGAAAGACCCGACCGAGTTCAGACTCTCGTCCAGGAGGTCAAGGTGGAACTATTCCTGACCCTGATCCAGAACCTGAGCAGCAGTCACCAGGGTCTGGTTCTGGTTCCGCTTCAGGACCAGGTCCCATCCTCATGTTTCTAACACAGCAAGTGTCTCCTGTGACTCAAGTTTGTGACCACTTCCTGCTTGCTCAGAGGGACCAATCTAAGCGCCGGCGGTACCGGAGGTGTTCGCTCGCTGAAACCGGGGTAACGTGAAGCCTGCATAGGTGTTAAAACCCCTGAGCTTAAATAGTCTCGCACTCAATCGCCAGAGAGCGCTGTGACCTGGACACAAATAGGTTTGGGCTTGTTTTTCCCGTCTCAGAGGCGACTGCTTCAGAAATCCAATTATCTCTGAATCCTAATCATCTCAATCGATCATCTCCATCAGTAAATGTCCAATCAGCCGTCACGGTGCGTTCCTGCGTCCTGTGGTTCACTGACAACAATCTTCAGTTGTCTGATGCTTCCTTCGCTTTTGTCTCTCGGCTGATTTTCATCACCTTGGTCAGAAACTTCCTCTGAGAGGATCTGACTGTCAGACAAGAAGCGAGGCAGGTTTTTCACAGGCACTCCAGTCTTCAGGGGCGAAGGCCTCCGAGGCTCCGAGGGGTGGACCGACAAGCAGAGGAAGGAAAAGAGAAGAGGAGGAGGAGGAGACAAAACCCATCTGCACAAACGAAGAAGAAGAGGAAAAACACAAGGAGGAGAATGAAATTATTTCCAGGAAATTCAAAGTGAAAATATGATGAAGAGGAGCAGAAAGGGAAGAGGAGAGGAGGTGATCTTTCTCCAGGATGAATGTGAGTGACGAAAATTGTAAACGTAGATAAAAATTTCAGCAACTGATCGACCAATAAACGATCGGCGAGAATAAATAATTATATTTAATAATAATTGATCAGCCTGCAGGTTCAAATTTAACAAAGTGAACAATGAACAAATGAGCTGCCGAGTACGGGCTGGCTGGGTGGGGTGAGGGTGGGGGGGCCACATCCCCGACCCGCTCGCAGGGTGACGAGAAACAAAGGGGGATGGACGTAAACACCCCGCTGCTTCACGGCCACGTCAGCTGATGGTTTTTAGTTTTTGATTAAAAATAACTTTGTTTTTAATTTTTGCTTCTTCATCATCCTGCGGACGAACTGTTAATATGGACGTTCAGTAATTTAGGCGCTCGTGTATTGTAATTACATTAGAGACAGAAAATGATCCTTTAAATGAAATAAACATCGAGTTTCTCTTTTCTTTAAGCTGGAGAATAAAGAGCGGGCCGACGCTGAAGAGGGAAAAGAGTTGATTTAAAGCGAGGCTGTAAATGTGGGAGCAGAGGTCAGCAGAGTCGCACTCCTGATTCCACTGTGAGCTTTTATTTAAATGTGCTTTTATGATCTGATCTACATGAAGACAAACTCGGTTAGGGTCCGAGTCCATTCATCAACCGCAGGCGACCGATCCTGGCGTGCTCGTGCTGATGGATGCGATCGCTTATTCCCCACGTTTGACTTCATTATTGGAGCGTCTGAAGCCGTGACAAAGGTCTCACCTCTCAGTGATCAGGTTTATCAACATTTTATCAGCTTAATGTTTTTGTGATTTTCTCAGAAAAATCTTTTAAATGTAGGATTAAAAAAGTCTTTCAGCTCAAACAGATGAATCCAGACTGAAGCCTCATCTTTGTTTTTTGTTTGTGCCAAAATTAAAATTAGCTTTTTAGATTTTCTTTGAATGAAAAATGTAACATTGCTTGTCTGTTTTATTTTATTTATTAATCTGAGTGAAATCATTGGATTTCTATCAGATTAGTTAGAATATGTGAATCATTTCAGATAAACTCAGATATGTTACCTCGTTTCTTCCTCTTTCTGCAGTTTTCCGAGGCTCAGCGCTGCAGCGAGTGTGTGTGTTACAGCCCCTCTGTATTGTGTGTCAAGTGTTTCCTTTTGTGTGTGTGTGTGTGAGACGCTGGGAGCACTCAGCACACACACACACACATTTGCATTTAAATAGCGACATCAACCAGCGTTCACGGCACAAACCGGCGGGTTTCCCAGATGTCACAGCAAAGTCAGATGGCCCAGCTGTCTCTCTCTCTCACACACACACACACACACACACACACACACACACACACACACACACACACACACACACACACACACACAGCTGACTCTGTAAAAAACACTCATTGGTTCATTTGTTTAGCCAAAACTACAACTGAACCTGCAGCCTGAGCCGGTCTGATCACCTGAGTGTTTCCACCAGCAGCTCTCCTTTACAGGAACTCTGGATCTGTCCGGCTTCCTGCTGATCATCTAGACGTCCAGGACTCGTCCCAGGACCAGAGCAGGTGATGACACAGACAAACCTGTGCAGCAGCGTTAGGAAGATGAATATAACGCATGTTTCAATCTGTCTGTGACGTCTAAACATTTTAACTCGCCGTCTAAATTTCAGTAAATCGTGACGGTTCCAATTTTTCACACGTGCCGATTTTTGGTTCTTTCCCGTTTTGTTTCTGCTGCTTTTATGATCGTCTAAGCAGACGACTCGCTGCACACCTGCACCTGTGCACACATCAATACCTCAGTTTTTTCCAGCTTTATTTAAATTGTTATCGCAGGCTCATCTCAAAGATTCAGTTTTCCTCAAATAAAACATCTGCAAACATCTTACATTAAGTGTTGCCTTTGGGCACCTGTCTGTGTTGGGATCTTATACAGCCACAAAATAAAAGACCCCGTCATGTCAGGTTATGTTATCACATTTTTCCAACGTTATTCTGACCTTGTTACCTTGTAAAGTTCATTTTATCTTAAGAGACATACGATTTCTGATCACTCGGCTTTCAGCGTGATTTCTTCTATTTGAATGAAAAGAGACGAGCTCGGTGTGAACGAGCCAGTGGCTCGAGTCTGACATCAGCCCGCTGTGGATGACGGCATCACCGAAACAGCTCCGAGAAGTTTGCGAAGACTCGGCTGTGCCGCGGTCAGTTTGAAGATGGCAATAAAATCAAAGACAATAATGTATTGAGCCTGACACTAACCCTGAGCTCGTATTGTCTCGTGCGCCTCACATCTCAGCTGATCCAGTCAACCAGAGTCTCAGCTGTCAATCAAACTGCTGACTGCATCTGATTGGATAATGGCTGACAGTTCTCCTTTAGGTTCTCAGTCACACTCTACCGGCTTCAGCTCGACTCCTCAGTGTCCTGTCATCACTGACATTACCCTTTATTTTTCATCCGCTCGTCCCCATTTCATCTTTTATGTGGGCTTTTTCCCCTCACCTTCTCCTTTCTCCTCACGTCTCCACTGTATTTTATTTCAATGCGTCTCTATTGTTTGACTCTACTGCAGGTACTGAGGGAGTCAAACAAAAAGAGGACAAAACAGGAGAGAGAGCAGAAAAATGGAAATAAAACGAGAGGAAACAAAGCGCTCGACCTTCAGCACCAAACAGAAAAACACTGTGTGTGTGTGTGTGTGTGTGTGTGTGTGTGTGTGTGTGTGTGTGTGTGTGTGTTTGTGTGTGTGTGTGTGTGTGCGCGCGCTGCTAAGGGATTTCCAGGCATCCCAGTTCAGGGAATTCCCTCCATCCCAGCAGAGACTTGGGTGAGCG